AAATGGCCAAGACTTCATCAGTTATCTTTTTTTTAAAAAAAGATTTATGTATTTATTTGAAAGGCAGAGTTACAGAGAGGGAGAGACAGAGAGAGGGAGAGATATTCCATTCGCTGGTTCACTTCCCAAATGGCAATCTGGAACTGGACCAGGCTGAAGCCAGGAGCCCAGAGCTTCTTCCAATCTCCCACATGGGTGGCAGGGGCCCAAGTACTAGGGTCATCCTCTGCTGCTTTTCCAGGCACATTAGCAGGGAGCTGAATGGATTGTAAGTGGAGCAGCTGGGCCTCTAATGGGACCTATACAGAATTCCTGTCTTGCAGGCAGTGGTTTTATCCGCTATTCCACAATGCCAGCACCTATCACTCATCTTGAAAAAAAGAAACCTAAAACTCATTTTTGCTTCAGGTGAAGAAGCAGTGATGTTATAACTCTACTAGAACAAACAGATAAAAATGTAAACCAAAAAAATAAAATGTTTAGGGAAAAGTCATTGTCACAGCATGGATATAAAGGCCCAGTATCTGCTTTAATGAAACATAGTCTACTTCCATGGCTTCTTGCATGGCTAACCCGTGCAGTCTCACAGCATGTTCAGAAAGGCCCGAGTTGAGGCTTAATACTCTGGGGTGGGGGCATCTTCAAATTCTCCCAGGCTTGGAACACCACTGCCTGCAATGGCTGCTAGTTCAAGTTGTCTGGAGGAGACCACAATTCCCTCCCCACACCAACCTTCCTCTCTACCTCCTCACAGGAAACTGATGTAGTAGGGATGTGGACCACATTGTGCCTCAGGTCGGCAAGGAATCAGTATTTTCAGCAGGTGACTTTGTGGGGAATCTTACACAATCCCATCCAATGATGCCTGACACTGGAACTCTGACCTGCAATAAATGAGGCAAGTGGCCTGTGGGAACTTCCCTCTCCCTAGATGAGGTCCCACACTTTGATTTTGCCATGGACCCTGCAAATTATTTAACTGGCTCCCCGTAAATTCTTCCAGAAACAGTATTGAAAGGAAACTTTCCTTCTGGGAAAAAGATTACCAAGTAATATGGCGTTGTCACTCTGAGTTTGAGCTCCTTGAGGTTCTCACCCTGGGAGCTAATTAGTGGCACCATCACACTGGCCTCTAGGGTGCACTCCCTCCTTTACTACTACGTAGATTTCAATAGTCCGTCCAATGATCCTTAGTACAACTGCACCAAGCCAGATATTTCATATGAGATTTGTTAAATATTAGAGAGAACAAAAGCAAAAATAAAGATAGAATATACAAGAAATATAAATTGTTCACCTGACAAAGTAAAAGTTATAATCCTAGGATAGCAGGCTTATTCTTAAGAAGTCCAGAATTCTACTATTCTACATAATAGCTCATTTTACTCTATTAACGCCACACAGAAGAAATTGTTTTAGCTTTAAAGGCCTACTCTATAGGAGAGCCACATTATAATAAAGTATAAAATAATTTCATTCATATAAAAGAAATAAATGATATAGCAACAAGGATATCATTCTCTAACAGTGAAAATGTCAAGATTTTTTGTCTTCATTTCAAATCTTCTATGTTCAAACTATGCTGCATTTTAAGGGTCCACCATAAAAGTAACATGGATTTGGGACCAGTGCAGTGGTGTAGAGGGTTAGGCCTCTGCCTGCAACAGCGGCACCCTCTATGGGTGGCAGTTTGAGTCCCAGCTGCTCCACTTCCAATCCAGCTCCCTGTTAATGACCTGGAAAAGCAGCTGAGCATGGCCCAAGTTCTTGGGCCCCTGCCACCCATCCTAGCCTAGCCCTGGATGTTTCGACCACTTGGGGAGTGAACTAGTGATGGAAGATTTCACTCTGCCTCTGTCTTTCACTCTGCCTTTGTCTCTCCCTCTCTGAAACTCTGCCTTTCAAATAAAGTTTTTTAAATCTTAAAAAAAAAGCATTGATTAGAATGGCAGATGTCCTAAACAGCACTCTGGCCTCGGAATCAGCCCTTAAGGTACACGGATCTGGCTGAAAAGCCCATGAGAGTATTTCAGGCATGGAAAGCCAAGACACTCTGGGGGAAAAAAAAAAAAAAAAAACCCTAAATGAAAGATCTCCGTGAGATCCCAGTGAAAAGAACAGTCTTCAAAGAAGGAGGTACCTTTCTCTGAAGGGAGGAGAGAACTACCACTTTGACTACGATCTTGTCTAAAAATTATCAGAGTCAGTGAACTCAGGGGGCTTCCATAGCCTTGGCAGCTCATGACAAGAGCCTAGGGTGATTACTGATGCCATAAACAAGAGTGTCAATTTGTTAAGTCAACAACAGGAGTCACTGTGCACTTACTCCTCATGTAGGATCTCTGTCCTTAATGTGCTGTACATTGTGATTTAATGCTATAACTAGTACTCAAACAGTATTTTTCACTTTATGTTTCTATGTGGGTGCAAACTGTTGAAATCTTTACTTAATATATGCTAAACTGATCTTCTGTATATAAAGAGAATTAAAATGAATCTTGATGTGAATGGAAAGGGGGAGGGAGAGGGAAAGGGGAGGGTTGCGGGTGGGAAGGAAGTTATTGGGGGGAGGGGAAAGCCATTGTAATCTATAAGCTGTACTTTGGAAATTTATATTCATTAAATAAAAGTTAAAAAAAAAAAAACAAAGAAAGCAATATATTCAAGCTTCTCTTTAAAACTCTTGACATTCCTAAAAGTTTTATCCTGTTGTTTCAATTCCTGATTGATTTTTCTAGTAACTATAATTTAATTGTTGAGGATATTGATATTTTTACCTTTCTTTTGGATGTTGAGAGTTTGGTCATTTTTTTCAAATTTCTTTCTTCTAAAATTGGTTCACCTGTAGTTATGACAGACTTTTTGAACTAGCTTATAAAATAAAATGCAAATCCCTACCAACTAATTTATAAATTTTCTTATGCTAGTAGACCCATGACTTTTTAATATCATAAGATGGTAGTATTTTTAAAGTGAAGATGGAACCCATAAGTCGTTCTCAGCTTTTTATTTTGTCAAATAAAGGGACTGAAAAGTAAAGCACATTAACAATATTATTTCACAAGACAAAGTATACTAACATGCATACTGTATAATTTCATAAAAAAGAAAATTTTAATACTGAAGGAAGTCCTTTAACTGAACAAATTAAATAATGAACTCACTATATTTTTATTTCTCTGGGGAACACTGAAGAAAAGCAACAAAGGTCAGCACTGGGCAACCTCCTTAATCAGAGGTTGGCAAAATTTTTCAAAATTCTTAGTACATATTTCCTTCCAAATATTTCAATCACTTTAAGCATTTCTTTAATTTTTATGAACTCTCAATATGACATACTTGAGATTCAATAGTATTGATTCTTTAGCTTTTTAAAACCATCCTAAATTTTAAAATCTTTGAAGTAAGCATTTCATTATTTTTTCTTACTACTAACACTAAACAGAAAGCACCATAAAAGGCCATTGTCTTCTCTTGAATTCACTCAAATATTTTTTTCCTTTTTTCTTTTTGCATTCAAAAATTTTATGTATAACAGAATGCCATATATCACATATTTGAGATATACCATGAGTTATTTTTAATACCAATGAAATTACTTTATAACTAATAGCTTAATTTGACACAATGGGCTTACTTATTCTGAATAGAAATCTCTTCACACTCTATGAGACTTTTGAATTTCTACTTCCTTTTGGAAAATATACGCATACACATATACATTAATTAAAATGTGTCAGAGGTTTTTAAATTTTGATAAAGTTTTTTGCCTAACCATTATTGTACTCCTATACATATTTTAACTGTGCCTGTCCAGAATTTTGTTGTGACATATGCAGAAAAAAACAGTACATAGAATTAATGAGAGATTCAAACTTAGCCTTCACCCTTCATTGCATAATAACCATGTTATAGGAAGTATTTATTATATTAAAACAAAGGACTTTATTCTGATAGCTGTTGGATCTAAAATGTAATATTTGACTTTCAAAACAAATCAGCAGAGCTCCAAATAAGGGACTCAGCCAACAAAGAATCATGAAGTTAAAAAGTCTGTGTTAATCAATGACAAATTTAGTACTTGTTGCTACAATTACAAAGATAATAGTTCCTTTATGCCAGTGCCTTTGGTTTTGCAGCTGTAAAATAGCTTTGAAATTCAGCATTTCAAGGAATAGAAATTAATAGGAGGTCATTTCTACCAGAGAAATTTTAGGGGCCCATCCTCTCTAATCATCATTAAAAACTAAATCCGTAGGAGAAGAGGCACTTTACTGATTGTCAAGTGGAAGCTATTATTCATTTGATGAAGCTCTTGGCACTGTGCCATTGATTCTGCACTACAGCCTGCTGCTTGTTCTCCTTCATCTCTCGCAATCAGGGTTGTTTCTGCCTGCCAGGAGCTATTTATAGAACAAGGGGGGGCGGGTGATATGTTCTCCTTCTTGAAAAACAACTTTCAAACTTTGTAAGTACAAATCTGTTTTTCTTGTCACCAGACTGTGTCTGCTTCTTCTGTCAATGTAGAAGATAAGGAAACTGGCTTCAAGACAATTGCTTTTCCTAATAATGACAACGGATTCATTGGAGTCACAGGCCACAGTCACACTGCCTCGGATTCCCCAGGATTAATATTTGTCAAAACTACACACACTGTCATATGTTTGCAGTATTCTTTCTGTCATTTCTAAACTTGGGTTAGTTTCAATTCTGTATCTTAAAAATTTCTGAAAGACACTCTGCTTTCTTATTCTTATTGGAAGTAACTATATTAGGGGAAAAAATCCCTTAAAATAGGAGTGTAAGAAAGTATTTGGGGACTTGAGTATTTAAGGGATGATTCAAACTAAATTAGCAATTTGGTGTTGATAAAGTTTCTTGTTCTTCCTAAAGTGGCAAAAGAATTTGAATTTTCATAAATTTTCTCAAAACATTAGTCAGCTCAAGTGATATAAATCTTGATTATTTAAAATATATACACATGATATTATCAGAGTTACCTGCAAGCATATTCACTGTCTTTAGTACAGTTGTGAAAACATTTTAAAATCTATTCAAAATCTCTGTATTTGGAGAAGTTTCAGGATCTAATCTCTCTGGACTGAAAATCCATTTAAAATATTTCATCCTGTAAATAAAAATAAAACAATGGTATGTATTTATAACATCTATCATGAAGTGGTAATACCTCTGTGTGTTAAATTTCAATTGAACGGAAATAAATTGTATTTAATAGAATACAAAACACAAAACCTGAACCTTAAAAATACATGAAAATGTCAAAATCATATAGCTGTAAATAGCGTGATACAGATTATTTTCAGAAATTTAGCTGATGATCCTATCAAGTGTTGTTTTAACAGAATGCATTTTTTAAAGTATCCATAGAGAGTCTTCAGTAAATGTTTAGTTACAAATAGAACACTGAAGACCCCCTTAATCATTTCAAACTACAACAGAGGATCAGTCAAAGAAGACATTTAACAGAATAACTTGAATTAGCACTGTGGGAAACAGATGGAGGATTTTTTGTTGTTGTTGTTGGTTGGTTGCTTTGTTTTCATTTCATAGAAGACTTACATTTCAGCACTCACTTTGGACTGGTATTTCCAGAGCCAAGGCTTACAACAGGGGTCAGACTGCATATATTCTCCAGTAAGTCTATGGTACTTTTTCCCCTCAAATCCCCTCATGCCTACCACTCATACATAAGCCTTAGAAGAACCCAATAGTAAGTAAAATATTATGTTTCAGAAAAAAACCTATAGAACATGAAGTGCAGTTATGTATTGTGGATGCAGATATTTTAGGCAATCAATTTGGATAATAATAAAAATAAATGTCCTTTTGACTCGAAGTTGTTGAAAATAGCTGTATAGCCTAAACTCTGACATAATTTCCAGCCTCTGCTCTCCTTCATTTTGAGTTCCCAAAAACTTCTTTGGTAATTTCACTTTCCATACAATTAAAAAATTGAAGCGTTTTTAGAATGGTATTATGAAATCTACTACTAACTTGACTGATTACAACTGGAGTTCAGAAAGTTAGGCCGGTAGAGCTAGTATTAAAACATTTATTAATTCATGCAACAAATATTTATTGAGTACCTATTATGTGCCCAGCATCATTTTGTTGAGATATATCAGGGAAGAAAAAATATTCACAATATCTATCTTAATTGAATTTGTATTCCAATGGAGTTTCAGCTAAAACAAAAAGATCAACATAGAAAATTGTCTTTCTCATAGTCCTATATTTCTCACAAATGCTCAACATTAAACTGAAGGAAGACAACTTCTTGAAAAATTTCTTGAGCACAGATCACATATACTAGCTACTGTGTCAAACAGTTTTTCATGTATTATTGCATCTACTTTTCCCTTCTAAAGTTAATTTTTAAAAACTCTCCACTATACTAATAAAGAAATAAATATTTACAAATAATACAAAAATTTTTCTAAGGTTACAGAAATAAAAAAGTGGTGGACATAACACAGGTCTCTCCCATGTTTAAAAAATGATAATTTCAAGCAAGTGATCTACTGAAGACTTAGCAGCTTTCATTCAGAACTTATTCCACAAATTAAAAGTGTGCCTAATATGTGAAGAACAATGTTTTAAACACTTCCATGAATCAAAGAGGTGAAGATTCTTGCTTTTGTGCAGCTAAAATTCTAGTTAGTGTAGACAGGCAATAATTGTCAACAAATAAGCAAATGCATATGCTTCAAAGTAAACAGTAATTCAATGGGAAAAATTGTCAATTTTTCCCCAACAATCTGTGTTCTTAACTTTGAGGAAAAGTAAACTTCTTGTCTCAACTTTTATAAATTAAAAATAAAAGTTTTAGATACCTCTGACTTAACAAAGCATCCCAAAGAGGAATTATTAGAACAGAAGAATACATAATGTAAGGAAAAGGTGACTACATATTAAGGTGAACTGACACTTGTTTTCTACCATTGCAGAGAACTGGACTGGTTTCAAAGTCTTTGTTGTTTTGATCAAGGGAAGCCTGCAAATAAAGGACAGACAGAGCAAGTCTTCAGTCATCACCCATCTGGAGTACAACAAGCACACATAAATCACTGGAAAATCACGTGTGGTTTAATGACATTTACCCATTTCGGTTTCCACCGACTGGCATGCCAAACCCCAGACACCAAAATGACTAAGGATGAAGAATAAATACCCATCATTAAATTTCCAGTGGTTTAATAATTATCCCTCTTCCTGGGGACATGATTAAACCTTGCACAACGGCAAAGCTCCAACAGAGTTACTGGCCATCAGAGGTGAAGGGAAAGTAAATGTAAAAAAGAGAAAACGGGTGAAAGTGACAAAGAAAATGAAGAGAGAAAGAAAGGCAAAGACAACCACAGAGGGTAGAATCTCTTGGTGATTATTCTCATTCAACTTTTGGATTAAGACAATCACTCACACACACTCGACAAAATGATTAAGCAGCAATTTGGATGTGGACTTCATTCTCATCATTCCAGGGCATGTGGCAAGTTCATTCCACAGGGAGTAAAAAGTATAGTAACACAGAAAACATAATCACATGCTCATGCCAAGGCTTCCTCCAAAGAGTAAGGATGAGGGAGACTACTTTTGCACAAAAATGGTGAACTCTCTCTCTTCCTCAAATACTGTGTTTGGTCAAACTGTGATCTCAGGAGGGAAAAGCAGAATCTTTTTTGTTAAGTGGTCCAGAGTTATAATTGCCCTATATCTCAGAGTTCCTTATAGTGGTTGAAAAACTGAAAATACCTTCTTATCAGTGGAGCTTCCAAGCACAGCCTAAGAAAAAAACTTCTAATTACTGGCTAGGACGAAAATAATTCAGTAAATTGTATACAAAAATGATGATGATAAATCTCATTTGGGATATGAATGATACCAGGTATTACATAATAACTAAGATCAAAGTCAATGCTCTCTAAATAGTTTCCTTTTTAGTTTTCCCTTTTTTTATAAATTAAAAATACCCTAGCAGGTCAACTCCAGAAACCATTCCATATCCTTCATTATCATATCTCTAGAATCTATCCCAATATCGAACAAACAGTAGCAGCAAATATTTGACTAGGGGCCAACATTGTGGCACAGCAGGTTAAGCTTCTGCTTGCAATGCCAACATCCCATACTGGAGTGACAGTTCAAGTCCCAACTGCTCTGCTTCCAATCCAGCTTCCTGCTAATTCATCTAGGAATAAAGCAGATGATGGCTCAAGTGTCTGGGCCCCTGACACCCATGTAGGAGGGTGAAATGGAGTTCCTGGTTCCTGGCTTCACACTAGCCTAGCTAGTGTGGCTGTTGCACCCATTTGGGGAGTGAATCGGCAGATAAAAGACATCTCTCTTTCTCATTCTGTTACTCTGCCTTAAAATAAATGAATGAATGAATGAATAAATAAATATTTTTAACAAAGAAATCTTGGAAAACAAATGCACAAGTAAATGCAGTTATTAACACTTTTTCTATCATAGGAATATGGCAGTTAATTAGGTAAGCCACAAAGGTGAAAAAACACAAATTCATGACTTTGTATGCCTCATTAGTTATTTTTATATATTAACTTACCTTATCTTATTAAACAAAATACCACTATACTCTCTGGCCAACATTCAGCAAGAAGAAAAAGCAGCTAATATTCACTGAGAACTCACTAGGACTGGCATGTGCCACATACCTTCATATGAATCATCTCATTTCTCAAAGAATTCTCCCCTTTTTTACAAAGGAAAAAAACGTAAGTTTACAGACGTTAACTAACTTGCCTTAGTAAATGGCAGAGAACTGTATGATTCATACTCAAGCCCTTTTGACTTCAAAATTCATACTCTTTCTATTATATCAAACTGCCAAAGGAAAACATATTCAAACTTCAAAAGCAACCATCTGTCTATAAGATAAAGAAACTTATCTCCAAGCACTGGGAGAGTGAGCTAGCAAGGTAACTATAAAAATCTTCTCAAACATTTAACATTTATGGTGGAAACATTCAAAATCCTATTTTCCAGGATTTTTTAATAGAAAATTATATAATAAATGAACATTATAATGATATGTTAGGAAACTATTTTTTAGGGTGTCATTTTGTTACAACTGTTTATTTTCTTCTTCTGTTTTTAGCATGACTTACCTTTAGTCAAATCAATTAAAAGAGGAAATGCAATTCAAAGAAAGTCACATGTGGAAGCAAAAAATACAGAGAGAAGAGAATTAGGGAGATCCTGAGCAGCATCGTGATAAATCCACTGATGTGTACCAGGAAAGACATGAAAAGCAAACCTTTTCTTGATGAATACAAGTTTCCTGGAAGGGGGCAATTAGCCTCTTCTGTTCCAGAAAGTTACTTAGAAAAGCCAGCATGACCTCTGCTTAAGCCTCTTGCGAATAACCTCTGGATGATGTCCATGGAAGTGTAATTCTATATGAAACTGAACAATCCTGTGGCAATCAGATTGATTGTGAATTGAAGCCTGAGGGCAAAAGGTCCTGTATTGGTTATTGAAGTAAACATTATTGGTGTTTTAATCACTCTTATCACCTGTACATAGATATTGCACACACACCATTGGGTTTTATTTGTGTGTCTTTGTGTGACTCTTTAAGTGAGAAAAGATTCTTAGAAAAATAAAAATAAGTCTGATAAGGAAAATTTCCAAAACATTTATTACTTAAATATTTTATGAGAAAATTATTCAGCTTAATTTATAAAGAAAATTCACTTTGATAAACCTCTGGCAGCCTCAAATTCAAAATGATTTAAATATGTGATCACAGTTACATCATTGGTATTGGAAATCTCTAAGTGAGACCCTGTAAAAAGCATATTTCAGGTCATAAACATTCATCAGAATTATACCAAAAAGTTATTTACAACTTCATTTCATGTTACCAGTCTGTATTATGCTTCAGTCTCCTTTACCTTAAAATAGTGTGTAATAAATAATTTCAGTTTAAAAGAATATATTATAAATAATATTAGTTTTATATATAGGTAAAAAACTATGTGGTTTATGTCAAAGGATAGCAAAAGGTCCACTTGTCCCAAAATACACCAATAATTTCTCATGTATTTCCTGGTCTCAAACCAAGAAACCCACGAGTAATGGCCCTTCTTAGGTCTAAGGTACAGTATATGTTAATTGTACTTGCCTTAGTAAATGGCAGAGAACTGTATAGATTCATACTCAAGCCCTTTTGACTTCAAAATTCATACTCTTTCTATTATATCAAACTGTCAAAGGAAAACATATTCAAACTTCAAAAGCAACCATCTGTCTATAAGATAAAGAAACTTCTCTTCAAGCACTGGGAGAGTGAGCTAGCAAGTATATTTTCATTGAAATAAATCTAGCAAAAGAGAAAAACAGTAAATGAGTCCAAACACCAAAATATCTTACATATTTTACATATTTAAAACTTTTATTTAAAAATATTTCAACACATACATAAATTTTGTATTTATGGAGTACCATGTGATGTTTTTGAATGTGTATACATTGTATAATGTCCAAGCAAGGTAACTATAAAAATCTTCTCAAACATTTAACATTTATGGTGGAAACATTCAAAATCAGAATAGAGTTTGAAGGATTAGAAAGAAATCCAGACTATTTAGATTATGGGAAAGAGAACAATTTGGGACAATCACAGAATAAAAATCAGATAACCAAATCCCATTTAGAGAAGAAAAGAGGCCAGAAGCTATGACTATAGAAAGTTGGCATAAAGGTAAATCTTATTAACATACAACAATATAATTCATCTTGTTCGCCTTACTTAGCAAGATTAAATAACATATGCAATACTCTCTGAACTCTATGAGAAAGAAATCATATAAATATAGCTACTTCTCCAGCAGCCTACACAAGTCATGGCCAAAAGTTTCACTAGCTCTTTCAGATCACCTTTTTTTCTTTACATAAGTCAAAACAAAACAAAAAACTCACACTTAGCACTCAGTGAGCCACAGCATAAAATGGAGCCTGCAAGGGCTCTGATTCCAACCAGAATTCAACTTAGGCAGTATGAGTATCTGGTTCATATATTTTTAATGGGCATCTTTTAAACACGCAAGGGAGAAAGACATTAATGAATTATCTCCAAACCCTATCACTAATATGTAAGGAATGAAAAGACTACCACCTGTTTAGGATTTGAGTTTCATAGGCATGTTTAGGACATCAAAGCATCAAGGGACAGGCATTAAGGGACAGGCTTTGAGGAAAGGCAAACAAGATCAAGAGCCTTGCACATTTTAAATAAGACACAAAAATTACAACATAAAAAGGGATCAGAACCCCTCTTTATTCATTTACAATTCTCAGGGCCCTCAGTGGTTTAGGCTTAAATATACTCTATGTCCTGGAAAATGTTCCTTGTGTAAAAGGAAATTTAAAGGGGAACAAGTGTATTTCATGGAGTTTTATAAATTAATGAAATGATTCTTCAAGGTGCTTTAAGATACAGAGATTAAAGATAACTGTACAGTTACATAAAGTATTCATATTTCCTAATGCTGTGAGAATATGAATGACTTTCTCAGCTGTTGTCAAAGAATTTTTCCATATTTATCCTTTCCTGGTGCTATCTATACCAATGAGGGCAATAACACCTTACACTGAAGTTAAGCTTTTAAAAATTCAGACACATGCATGTTATCTTTTTTGACCATCATATATATATATATATATATATATATATATATATATATTTTGGATGTAGTTGCTTTTATCTCAATACAGATGATTCAACTAAGTTTTTTAAGAAGAAGAATTTTATAAATTTATCTAAGGTTACACAATGGGCAAGTAGCAGACCTAAATGTCAAACCATGTATTTGGACTCTGAGTCCAAGACATTCCCCCTGACCAACTTAAATTTACCTGTCAAATAACAAAATGGACATCTCTTATTTGCATTCACTGCTGATTCCACATTCTAGTTAAAATGCTTCATTTTATTCTTAAGGCAAATTACAGTAATTTTCATCACTGGCAGCATAGTGAAGGTGTGCACAACAACTTTTTTCTATGATCCACATTAAGCAAATTGATTAGAAATTTGAGATTGTTCCTGGATCTTCCCAAGTGTAGCCATTTTGCATGTGCAAGGGGATTTTCTTTTATTCTGGACCCGAACCTGTGAAGCTGAGTCTCAGAAAATTTGAGGACGTGTTGATGCAATCCACATGTAGTATGCATGAAAGTTGGTCTAAGCCATAGCCTCAGGGGCAGGTGGTTCCTTTGATCTTTATAGTTGTAAAGGAAACATTTGGTAATCAGGCAGAAAAAGTGCCCTGGAGAAAAACAGGAAGGCGTTCATACAATCACAAGGAACTTTTCTTCTTCTGCCTAAATCTCATTCTTCCAGCAGTACGAATTTGAAGAATTCTGGGGGAATGCAAAGAGCTATATAGGCAATTGTTAAAGAGTGCTTCTTACAAAAATAATAAAATTAGGAATAAAAAAATCAAAAGTAGCTCTTTCCATTATAGCTAATGACATAGCAGTGTATTTGGTTAAGATTTCTTTGTAACAAACCGCCTCAAAATTTAATGGCTTAAAGAAAACCACTTCTTACTACTTTTCCTTATTCTGAGGGTTTGGCTGGATGGTTCCTCTGCTGACCTCACCTGAACTCACATTGTACTCATTCACCCAAAAGATCAAATAAGGGATCTAGATTCAAGGTTTGAGAATCAGTTCCACCTGTTGATGGGAGATGTCACATTGCAAAATTTTCTGAACATGAGGAAGAATTCTTTGGAGACTATTTCATAATAATCTTTGACACTGGGGTTTTCAACATCAGCAATATAAATAATCATCTGGGACACATTTAAATGAAGTACTAATGACTGGGTCTCCCTATTAAAGACTGATTTAAAAGGTCTGGGGTGAGGCCCAGTCATAAACACTTTTAAAAATCTCTAGGTGATTCAATGAAGCCAAACTTTAGAACCACTGATTTATATTCCAGTGATTTATTTTTAGTAGTAATAGGATGAGAGTACTTTCCAACAGGGATTTCATGTGAATGTAAATGATCAAGAGTTAGATAAAACAGAAAACAGGAATAGGAGGCAGGTGTTTAGTATAGCAGTTAAGTTGCCACTTTGGGACAGCCCCATTCCAACTGGAGTCCCTTGTTTAAAGTCCTGGTACTTCCAATATAGCTTCCTGCTAATGAGCACCTTGGGTGGCAGTAGATGATGGCTGAAGAACTTGGGACTATGACACCTACATGGGACACATGGATTGAATTCCAGAATTCCTGGCTTTAACCTAGCACAAACTTCGCTGTTTCAGGAATTTGAGGAGTGAACCAGTAGATGAAGATACTTCTTCCCTCTCCCGGCCCTTTCCCCTCTTCCTCCCCCTCTCTCTCTCTCCCTCTCCCTCACAAGAATCAGAAATAGAAGACAGAAAGGCATTGGATCAAAGTCAATAACATAACCAGGACCCAGATACTATCTGAGGTAAAACTAGCTATAGGTTTTTAGCAATACCTTCCTTAGGGGAATGGTGATTACCACTAGAACAAAACTAATGATCCAAATAACAATGCATTATATTTTTAATCTGTTTCATACATAAATATGCCTAATTAGTCAAAACCCAGTACAAGTTCATTCAATTGTGTTGTTTAGTTTTTTTTTTTAATTGACTTTATTTTCATTTTAACACATGGGTTCTCAACAGGCTGAATCTAAGATGTTTTTAAAGAATACTAACTCATGCTAAGCAAAAGGAAATTTCAAGATGGCAGAATAGAGAGTGATGTACTTTGCTAGGCTGGGAATAAATAGGAAAAAAAGTGTAGAAAGTGCACTCTCAGGGGAGAATTGGAGAGAAAATTGCAGTGGAAATTCTACCAAAGGAAGAGGAATGCTGTGGATCTGAATGGAAGGTGCAGACACAAAGCACAAACACGGACACAACACACTAGGCAGCTGAGAGCCAGAGCGAGCAGCAGCTTGGAGACAGATGTGAGACCAAATCGCAGCAACTGTGGTGATATAGCCAAAGACAGAGTGTGGCGTGAGTCTAGTATGGAGCCCTAGGGGCTACCGGGTACCCACAGACCCAGTGGAAATAAAAGGGGCATGTTTTTCTAATCTCATATTCCCTACAACTGTACCCGGCACTCAGCTGAGAGGGTGGGCACCATTTTAGTCGGGCTGCAGCTGTGGAAGCCCATGGGTCTGAACACAGCAACTGGCTGAGACAGGATGCCACCTTCTCAGCAGTACTGGCAGCAGTGGTGGGGAGAGGGCAACATTCACCCAGTGGCTCTTGTGTAGGGGTATAATCTAGGGATTCTAGTGAAGGGAGAAATCTATGTTTCCCACTGACTTGTAGCCTGGATGGGAGAATAGACAGGATCTGGGCACGCTGTAGCACTGTGAGATGCTTCCAGCCTCCCAACATACCACAGGCTCTGGGGCTCAAGCTGCCTAGGCAGAGCACCTGAGGATAGCTGGATTGAGGAATATCTGCCTCTATATGTACCCGACAGGCTGGTGGGGCACAGTGGAACCTCTGCACTAGGTGACTATGTGAGCATAGTGTTCTGAGATTGTGAGGGGCTAGGTGGCTGCATGAGAACGCAAGGTATAGTTGGCTCTGTAGGTAGTCGCTGTGGGTGGAGCCACACACTCAGAGCTCCCTGGTTGCCTGGGGTGGGTCTCTGCAGCAGGAACCTTGCTCTGAGTGAAGACTTTGCAGATCATTTGGGTGGTTCATACAGTGGTACAGATGAGTGTTACAACCACTTAGGGCTAAAACCAGGGCATTGATCACCCTGGAGGAGAGGAGGTGAGGGTGCGATTACAACAACAGAGGTGACCATTCCCCACCTTCTGTTAACAAGAGGAGATCCACCACACCCACCTTGGGTGTTACCCACATCTTGGCACTGAACAGAGCTCCCTAGCCATACCCAGTACATACCTCTGGGTATTCACTGAAAGTGCAGGCATTTCACTAAGCCACAGAGTAATAGTTCAAAGATAAAGCCATCAGATTAAAAAAAATGAATAAGTATCTCCACAAATGCCTAAAATAAACACAAAATTCAAGAAAAAATAATAATGAAGACATCATGACTCCCCCTCAAAGGAACACAGCAACATTTCAATATTAGAATCTAAAAATGAAGAGATTGATGAAATGCCTGAAATGAAATTCAAAAAATTAATCATAGAATTACTCAGAAGCAAATCCATGAATTAAAGAATTCATACATAATATGAATGAAAATTTTTCCCTTGAAATTGAGATTTTTAAAGAGAAATTGAAATGAAATATTAGAAATGAAGAATTCAGTAGACCAAATTAAAAAATGCAGTGAAAGCCTTAACAACAAGATGTGGTGAGGCAGAAGAAAGAATACCTGAGTTAGAAGACAAATCTTTAGAAATTTTTAGTCACACCAAAAATGAAGAAGAAAGAAGAAAGAATAATGAAGAAGAAGAAGAAGAAGAGGAGGAGGAGGAAGAAGAAATTAGAAACATTAAAAACAGTGGTTGAAATTTATCAGATATTATCAAACGACCCAACATACAGTTCTTAGGAGTTCCTGAAGGTGTGGAAAGAGAGAATGGACTAGAAGGCCCAACTAACCAAAAAAAGGAGAGAGAAGACCCAAATCTGTAAAATCAAAGATAGTAATGGAAATGTAACAACAGACACAATAGAAATAAAAAGAATCATCAGAAACTACTACAAAGAGATGTATGCTAACAAATTGGGGAACCTGGAAGAAATGGATAGATTCCTGGACAAATACAACATTCCTAAACTGAGCCGTGAAGATATAGAAAATCTAAACAGACCCATAACCATGGAAGAAATGAATCAGTAATAAACGCACTACCGAAAAAGAAGAGCCCAGGACCGGATGGCTTCACTGCCGAATTTTACCAGACATTTAGAGAACAACTAACCCCAGTTCTTCTCAAATTATTCCAAACGATTGAAAGAGAGAGAATCCTTCCAAATTCCTTCTACGAAGCCAATATCACCTTAATTCCTAAGCCCAGAAAAGACACAGCAGAGAAAGAAAACTACAGACCTATCTCCCTGATGAACATAGATGCAAAAATACTCAATAAAATTCTGGCAAACCAAATCCAACTACACATCAGAAAGATCATTCACCCGGACCAAGTGGGATTCATCCCTGGTATGCAGGGATGGTTCAATATTCAAAAGTCAATCAACGTAATACATCACATTAATAAATTGAGAAACAAAAATCATATGGTTACCTCAATAGATGCAGAGAAAGCATTTGACAAAATACAACACCCTTTCATGATGAAAACCCTAAGCAAATTGGGGTTAGAAGGAACATTCCTCAACACAATTAAGGCAGTCTATGTTAAACCAAAGGCCAGCATCATATTGAATGGGGAAAAGTTGGAGGCATTTCCATTGAAAACTGGCACCAGACAGGGATGCCCACTCTCACCATTGCTATTCAATATAGTCCTAGAAGTGTTAGCCAGAGCCATCAGGCAAGAAAAAGAAACTAAAGGGATACAAATGGGAAAGGAGGAAGTTAAACTATCCCTGTTTGCAGATGACATGATACTATATATAGGGGACCCAATAAACTCCTATAAGAGACTACTGGAACTCATAGAAGAGTTTGGTAAAGTAGCAGGATACAAAAT